TGACAGCTTTTCCCTGGCTAAACCTCTTATTTATATCGACTTTTCACCCAGTGCAGCTCTCTGGATGTGTCATGTCCCTAACACTTCAGTGGTTTCGGGTTTTTTTTTTTTTAATTTTAACAAATCTATCCACTTGTATTCCTGAGTTGCGCTGAATTAAAACATTGACCAAATAGCATAGTATTTTGAACTGCGAGGTGCATTAAACAGATCCCTAGTTTAAGATGGACAGCCCATGGACATGAGTTGAGATCCGTGGGTCAGCGCAGGTGATCGTTGTCCCACAACTATCAGGCACTGCCAATCTCTTGACATCCAGAGGATGACGATGAGGGATTTGTGAGAGCCATGGATTAGCTTCATAGTTACTGCTGTTATGATCACAGGAAGTTGGGCCCTGTCTGTTAAATGTCATCCGTGACCGACGGACGGGATGCCGCTCTCTCACGGCCCGGACCCATTACTGCAGACGGAGGCCTCTCAGAGGAGCAGTCCCTGACTAATGGAAACAGTGTGTGCACAGTCTGAACCCCAGAACTCTAGTGACAAACACAAGTAACGCAAAAAGCGTGTGTTTTACAACCCCCCCTGTAAAGGTCCGGTTGTAAACTGAGAATTTACGCCCTTCATTAGTGGTAATACAATGCACATAACTCTAACGTATAACAATTGGGATGGCTATAAAGTAACCATTTTATACCTTCTCAAATCTGTGACTTGTAGGTGACCCTGGTAGAGGCAATGTTAGGGCAGGCAGATTTACAATGACTGCATATTCCCTCTGATAGGCCTCTGCGTTTTTAGGGAATTAGAGGTGCCAAAATACAAAATGACTTAAATAATAATTTTATGTACCCCCATCAGAAATATTAGTCTCCAAAGCATAATTTACAACTTGTAACTTGAGTTTTTTGTTCAAGGAGATTTCACATTGATTCATGTCTAACTTTGGTTTTATAGCCAGCCAGGGAAGGACAGAAACCCACCTCTGTTTTCCTGGTTGTTTCTTACTCTAAAGCCTCACCCAGGCCGTCCATTAAGATGACATATGAGGTGTAAAAATAACCCAGGTAAAGGTATTCAAAATTAACAGACTGTTCAGAGAACTCTGCAGTATCAGGTCGTTTTCTCTAGAGACTTAGTGGTGGGTGTACAAGGCCTTTTGTTTAACTGTGACCACATCTTCAGAAATAAAGCCACAATTCATCATAGTGGGCATGTTTTGTACACGCCCTCAGTGGAGCTCTGCTATATCCGTAACGACAATGAGCGCATAGGAGGAGGGAGGAGTTGAAATTACATCCTCTTTCAGCGTTGTCAAATTAATTTGATAGTTTCATCCTTTACTAGAGTGTTTGTTTGCTTGTGGTACGGTACTGTAGTTGTGAATGAAACAGTGGAAGCACTTAGGCTGCAGTCCATTCTTCTTCTGTGCAGCATGACACAGTCAGTCACCTGACTGCCATCAGTGTCAAAAGGTGGCACACACTCAGCGGGGGATCCTGAGTGGAGCCCATTGATGAGATGAAACAGGTTGACTTCTCCCTTGGTCTGAAGTGGAATGAAAAACAAATGTCATGGAGGGTGACAGAGAGCGTCTGTGTCTTATCAGCCTGGCCAATGTGAGTGATGGCTCTTATCTGGCCCCCTGCTCCGCGGCTGTTTATTATCCTAAGGTGGCAGGGTGGTGCTGGGAAGAGAAGAGGACTGGGAGCCCCTTCGTGATCCATCACTCCGGAGGTCTCCTTCCCCTCTTATCTGACCGCTACATGGATAACTGCAGCTCTTGTTTACAGACGCCAGCCCATTTGAATGAGTAGCAGGCGCAGGAAACGGTTCCTTTGCTCTCTTTATCAGTCCAGGTGAGTTATAGGGAGGATGGAGTGTGCCACATCATTTTCTTTGCACACCCAGACATGCACACACACACACACACACACACACACACACACACACACACACACACACAAAATAACAGACCAACATGTACATAAACACTTATGTACACCAGTATGCACACACACAAGCATAAATGCATGCTATTCTTCTTCTGTTAGACATAAATGGAGGTTGAAGGGAAAAGAGACGGTAGATGGTGAATACAAGGCAGAGCTTTACACACTAGAGGATAAGCTTGTGTGTGGCCCAGTTTATCTCCTTTCATGAATTACATTCATTTCTGTTATCATGTTTTTTTTCTTGGTTATCTGAGCCAGCATGTGTTGTGAGTGTATACAAGAGTGAAAGTTGATATGAGAAAAAGAAATGATCTCTGCCTGTGGTGGTCAGTGGGTACTCTATTGAAGTTATAGCATTACAGAGCATCATATCCTGAATGGGAAGTGTCATTCCTATATTTACTTGTGTTTTTGAAAGGAAAACCTCAATAAAGATGGCTATTTTTTTCACTTGTTCCATTTCCTTTCGCCATCTCTGTTGGGATATTCCTGGTGCTCCCTGGCAGGGCAGAATGTGTGGGTTTCCATTTCAAACAGGGCTCTCATGTCCATCACAACACCAGGGGTCTCTCCTAAAATACATACCTTCTGTCAAAGCTCGGGGATAGAGGGTGGATGGAAGGCAGCAAAGGTGGGAGGGAGGGAAAGAAGTGAGGGAGAGGTGTTTAAGGCTACCGGTCGCCCATTCCCTCGGGCTTCAGTGGCAGGCAGGCTTTCTCCTCAGATCCAAGTCAGCTTTCACTGAAGCTGAAATAACTAGAGTTTGTTTGAATGTACAGAAGAAGAGAGGGGCCCAGAGGCCACCGCCTGTGAACTGACACAGTAAATCCTAGTGAAATCTCTCCTACCGCCACCCCCGCTGACTAATGGTGACATGGCGTAGCTTGCGCCCAGTCTAGTTTTAGCTTTGCAGAGCCAACAAAGCAGAACATCATGAAAGATGCTAATTGCAAACCACCAAAGACAGGCGGCCATCATGAGGCAGGAGTGGGAATTGCCAAAATGGCAGAGCTGGGAGTGGGTACAGGGAGGTGGTGAGAGGGGTGGGAGAAAGGAATGTAAACACAAAATCCTGTGCTCTCATTAAAGAGTTGTGAAAAGGCCTTGAGTTCAGTGCAGCATGCCAGGCTGTGCAAGTGGAGATGCCATTCTACAGACGAACAGAACTCTGTAGACATTCGCCAAGTCGCCCACGAAGAGCAGATTAAAATAAAAAAAAGGTAGATGAGCTGTGGTTACAGTGCCTTCATGTCTTCTCACTAGATGTAGTGTCTGTGTTTATCCTTTCTCTGTACTTATAGCAAGACCACACCATACTGCTCCTGAATACCAGTATCATAATTTGAATTAAATGCTCTCTTGTATTGCCATGTGCTATGAAAAGTGCAGATAAAAGTGTACAAGTTATTGGAACAGTCTATAGACTTCGCTATAGACTTAATAGCTCACCAGAATCAATGGAAAACCAGGTTGCGAAAATATTAAATCATCTACTCTGTCCTCTAAAGATTAAGGACTTCAGCCTGCTCATGTAATATTTACAGATAAATCAAGGGAGGGGATGGTCAGGGCTTAGAACACAGACCTTATAATCAATGTCAGAAAGTAAAGATAATTTCAAAGTAATGTGTTTGCTACTATCTTAATTGTTTTGATTCATGAAAACGCATCCATCTTGTGCTCCATGTAGATAAAAGCAAATGCTGATGTGTACTGCAGCTAACAGGGCTGCCTGCAGGCTGGGGTTTCTGTTTGAGGTTACGTGGTAGAGTAGAAACAACTCTTCCCACTCCAAGACTAAGGAAAAGCCAAATGTCTCGGCCTGATGCTTACCAGAGCATGGTCTGTTGTTTCTCCCATGTCTGAAGCCTGCACACACACACACACACACACACACACACACACAGTCATACAGCACAGAGACACACTGCATAATGCTTATGTGTCCAGTCCGACATCGGCCAATTCTTTAAATCATTCTTTATTACAGTGTCAACAGAAATAATGAAGAAATAAGCTTTCCATATTTCTCATGTTTCTATTAAAGAGAATCCTACTAATGCAAAAGCTTAGCGCCACCAAATTGTAATTTATTGTAATTTGTCTTTGATTAATTTGTAGCGCAAAAGCAGCATTTATAAACATGCATGATCCACCTCAACTTAATAGTATTCAATTAATCACAGGCTGGGCCCAGTTGCCGCCAAAATAATGGCAATTTAATAACGTGACGCATATAGCAGGGCAGATTACCAAGTATTTATAAATGTCATTGGCTAGCCTGTAATACACAGTGACAGGGAAACATGCGCTAGGCCCAGTAGTGTCTGCTCCTATGTAATGCAACAAATGTCCCATCCCCATAGCAAAGAGGCTATGAATAACTGTGATAATCACTGCACAATGGCTTCATTTATCAATGTATGAGGAGCACAAACGTTGGGGCGATTAGGCTGCCTCTCTATTTTCTGTTGTGAAGGTTTGTTTTTCCGAGAGTGTCGAACAGGCCTGTCTGCAGAATGATGTCACAGGTGACTCTTCAGCTGTCTGTGTGTGCCCCCTGCTTTTTTGTACCATCTCTGACAACTAAAGAGCATGTCCTTTTTAGCAGTCCATACCAACAGAGACTTGAGCCCTGCCAGTTTGTAATAATGAAAAGATATTATCCCTTAAAGAAAAATGTCCAGCTACAATAGCACACATTTTGCATGCATGTTTTACTATTCTAAAATGTGTCTACGATCAGTAAGCAAAGAAATGAAATGTAGTAATCCATAGATAATTATATTCACAACGATTTACGAGAGCCACAATTCAACATTAACTGACTTGAGTGTATAGAATTAATAAAAGTATAACGATAGCCAAATTAATTCATAGAAAAGTTTGTACAATTATTGCAGTGGGAGTTAAACCTCTAAAGAAATGACAAAAGATACCACTATATAAAAGTACTGTGTGTACAAAAGAAAAGAATGCTTATCAAAGATTACAAGTGAGTTCAATGTAAATGTCTTCAAAGAGTCTAATTACTACAGCAGCTCAGTGAACAAGAAAGTTTAATGACCACATATGCAGTTACAAATCGTCACCTCCTTTATGTTTGATGTATTTGTGGGTTCTGCTCTCTGTCTTTTAAATTTATTTAAACTACTATTTATTTTCCTAAACTGATCGAGTGTGCACACACATTTCATGATACACCTAGTCTTTGTCTGCTGTCACTGAGATTTCAATAGGACGGGCCACAGCAGTCCTTTAATATAGATGTTTAAATTTGCACCTGCTTCACGCAAAAGTGACCTTACAAATTGAGCAGACCTTAGTAAATCCAGTGGAATTTGCAATTAACCACACTCGTTATGCCCCCCCCACCTCCCATTTGTGTGATCTTTCCTTACATTCATAAGCAGAAAGAGGTGAGGTGCAATACACTGACAGAAAGCAGAATGTGTCTCAGATGACACACAAACAGCATTTATTTTAGTACATATATCCCCCTGTGTCCATCACGTCAACATATTTGAAAAATGAGAAATCAGCAAAATCACAAAATAGAAATGGACAGAAATGTCGTTTGATTTAACAGTTGAACTTGCCAAGTTGTATTTTGCTTAAGTTCAAAATTCATTCTTGACCTTGGAAATTGAGAAAACAACCTCACCCGTAGGTCCATTTTGGAAGATGCTCTAGAGCTTTTGAACCAGATCACACAGTCCTCCTCAGCTGATTGATTCAGTCAGTCAGTTTCCATGTTGGACATTCAAACTTTCCATGATTCTTTGGGACTTCTCATCCAGGTTGACTGAAAAGGGGTTATTGTTTGTTGAAACTTTGCTTTTCTTTTAACCTGCTCAAACTTTAAGGAATATGTTTTTTATTTGTGACAATGTTTTGAAAAGAAAAGTGCTTAATTATGGATTATGTCTGTGACTGGTCACTCCACAACTCTACTGATATCACTGTCATGAATGTCATGAACAGGGTAACATTCTGGTGATACCCTGAAGGTTGGGACTGAGCTGGCATTGCTATCCCACACCTGACTGTTCAAGCACTCTGACTCATTTTCTCAGTTTTATTGTGTATTTTTTTTATGTTTCCTCTTGCCAGATTTTAATCAGGGATTTCCACTGAGCCTAATTGGATTGCTTTTGTTTTTGTGCATCCCTTCCTATGACAGGAAAATGTCTTTAGTGAGATGCAAAAGTGTTAGGAGAACCATTTTAAGAAAGTTTTAGATTATAGTTATGTGTTACTTATTGCCAGGGTGGTTTTGACACTTGCATACATTTAATATCTGCCTCTCACAGGATATGACTGCAAACTGCTGTGTGTACCTAAAATATAAGTGGAAAAGGTAAATATAAATGGTTACTGTAGGAGTGGTAAGAGTAAGGGTGTGTCCAGAGTGTGTCAGACTTTGTGCGGTCAGCCGGGTGACAAACAGCTTCCCAGCATTGTTGGCATAAGAGAAAGTCATCACACACGTTTTAATATGAAAGTATCATTTGGTGGCTGAAAACAATACTAACAGACACTAAGAATAGCTTGGGTGTTGGAAATGGATGACTCCCATCCTGAGGGGAAAAATTCACTGCAATTACAGCTTTATTTAGATGTAGTTGGTGGTCCTTAATTTGATATGGAGTTGTTTAGATGTAATTTTCCTAGTATTCATCAGTTGCATATTAGTTACGCATTTGCACTGTGTGCAATGCTAACATTTAAATCGGTGTAAACAGCTGATGAGAAGACAGATGAGCTATGGGAATTTGATCTCTTTGTTGGTGGGGGTCTAGGGGGGTGCTGTTCTGTCCTATCTGAGCAAAAAATGTGAGATGGATAGGTTGACAAACGAAAAAAAGAGAGACAGCAGTGGAGCGGAGGCTGCTCAGTGGGGATGTGAGAGGAAGGAGGTAGTGGTGGAGCTGACCACCATTGGGACCAGAGAAAGGTCACGGTGAAATGGAAACTGATTCTCCACCCTGGTTCCCTGGGAAATATCCAGTAACTCTGCCTTTCTTTCCCCCTGTACAACAGCAATGCACTGCCTCCACAAGCTGAACTGTGTTTAGCCTAGACCAGAACTGGCCGAGCGAGGGAGACAGCAGGTCACCAAATCTGTTGGGGTACATCCTTTAACTTAACAAAAGAAGGGGCTGTGTCAGGGTGTGGGTGCAGTTGCAGAGCAAAGTGATCATTTCTGACAGCCTTTAAGCTACAAATCCTGACTCTACCAGAGGTTCTGACCTGAGCTGCGTGATAGGAATGCGTTCCGCCTCTGATGGCCCGATTTCCTGCTCACCTCTTCGAAATGCGTGCAGGGTTGGTTTCAGCAGAACCTTCACATCAATTACACCGAAGGAAACCAACCTGCAGCCTGACATTGTGGGTGAAGGGAGATATTTATTGTTAGGACATGCAGTAAGAGTAAAAAATATATGAGGGGCAGAGCTACGGTTGGTAATGCTGTTTTATGTGTGTCAAAGTGTGCGTGATATGAGGATAACTAGCTCCCTGTTTGTGTTTTTTTCTTTTATTTCAACAGTTAAATGTAGACTTTCTATGCACTTCAACGTGAAACTTTCTCATAACTATGTTTGTGCAGGCTTTCTCTGTCTGTCACAGTAGCTCATTATTAGTCTATTACTTCTCCATACCTGACTTTTGTTTGAAATAATTACAACAATATTGGAGAATTTAAAACAATAAGGTAATGCTTGCAACACACAGCATAACTCTTAACAATGTACAGTGCCATTTAAGTACTAACAGTGTACCAGGACAGTATGTACTGACACATACATGTAGTTACAAGGGAATAAGTGGACTAAGTAAGTTTACAGGTACCTAATTTGTTATTATGGAGTACAGTATGACAATCTGAGCGACAATCTTATGTTTATGAGGAATTTAAAGTATTAATAATATTTTTGGGTACCTGTTCTAATATTATGGGGTACATTAGCATCCTTGAGAGGTGCACACAGGTTATAAATAAATAAAAAACCATCAGCATTTGGTCAGGCCTCTGAAGTCTCAAACCTCATCGATTAAACTGCACAGTGCTATCAAACAGTTCTACGATGACTTACCCTTGCCACCAGGGAATATTATCGTAGCTAAAGATTCCACTGGTAATTTACTTATTTCTTATTTCTTTATTATTTTTTATTTCTCCTTATTTGAAAATTAAAAGAACTAATAAACTAAACCTACCTTCTCAGGATGAAAATGTCAGTAGTGTTACTGCATCTCTGTCAAGTGGAGATCCTCCTGCAACACTTGAGTGACTTCGTGCTGACCTGGTGCTGACCACTCAAAGCCTCGCTTACTGCTACCTGTGACACCGATCAGTAATTTTACAGTCATCCTTCACCTTCTGTCTTCTTAAGCCAACACACAGTTCTGGCCTGCACATACTGTACACTATTAAAATATTAAGGGCTGTGCACAACACAGGGCTCAAGCCCCCAAAGACACAGGCCCGCTTTAACTACACTCAGCACAAACACTCTGAACCATCATGCTCAGTGGTCATGTGACGTCCTAACCCATGAGTAAATGACACTACTTTGAAAAGCCACGCGCAATGTCAGCTTTGTCCTCCTCTCAGCCCTCTAACACACACTTGGGAAGGCAAGTAACGCAAGACAGATTGTAGGGCCAGCAGTAGAGAATTCAGTGAACTGTACCCGAGGCAAGATTACTTTGTAAGACATTTAAAGGTCCACCCTTTAGAGTTACAATGGTGTGGTAAATAGCCATCATAATGTGGAGTGTTTAACAGAATTGCTTCTCATTTTCACTTTCACGGATGGTTTGAGGATCTCCTGCAGTTGAGAGTACCCCTTTGTCAGATGTTAATCAGTGATCGGGATTGTTTTGGAGACGTAAAATATTGTTAAACAAGTGTAAAGGGCAGACTCAGCCACTGCATTGCCAAATAACATGTTGCAATGATAACTTGTAATTTTGGGGGCTTTGTAAGACATGACTTCATGTGAATGTGACGATGCTGACTTGTTATTTTTGGGTATAAGTACAAAACAGTTTTGTTTATTTTGGTTGTCAGCATATGTTTGTGTGGGCTGGGGTTTCGTGGCACCACAACTGCTCTCATCTGTTCTGTTTTACATACATAACAGAGAACACAATTGAAGGCTTTTCAGGGTGTATGTGCATTTGTCAGCCATTTTTTCCCCTTCTACCTTTAAGACCCAACAATAAAAATAACATTTAGAAAGTTACCCAGCCCAAACCATTATGGGACATTTGCTGCCAACTATCCAGAAAATGTGTTTCTGGTTCCTTAGACTATTATATGGTTTTCACCAGCAATGGGCAGAGAGGTTGGCTGGCTTCCTGATAGAGATTTATAAAGGCTTCATGGTTCTTTCTTGTGTTAGAGCGTGAATGTGTGCGGGGATGTATTTGGACATGCACATGTGAACATTAAAGGTATATTTCCTTTTCCACTGGGAAAAATATGAGGTCTTTGGCTCTGTTCCCTTATATGTCTTGGTTATCTGTAAGCAGTTGACTGTGTTAGGGATATCTTTTATGTGAGTAGTGTTTTAGTTGCTATAGCCCTGTATGGTCTTCACTGTAAACCACAGCTAAACACTGGTGGAGAAGTATTAATGGACTGTTGGATTGAAACACAGATTGCACCAGCAAGGTGTTGATAATGCTCAAGATTAATGGCTCAGCCATGGATAATCACCCTTATCCCCCACTTTTCTGCGCAGCAGTTGCAGATAGACTCGTTCAACTTCTCACACCGGTGCTCATAAGACAAATGGCACACATGGTCTTGTCAGAGAAGACAGTCTTGCTCACTCATACACACACATAAACAAATGCATACATCACAATCGTCCCCACGCAATCTCGTACACATTCAAATACACAAGGCATGTGAACAAGGCCCACCAGGCTGTGTTATGCAAAAATCAAGAGTCAAATGTTCACTATGAAGGAGGCACACACACTATGAAAGCAGCCTTCACTCAAATCTATTTCATCCTGCTGTTTCCCCCGTCATCTCCATTATCCTCCCCTGTGTCGCAGATCTCTTGCACTTCTTTCGGCCTATCCCCACTTTGTGGCTATAATTCACTATGGTCTGGCTTTTTGACACGCGTGCAAATTGGCAAATTACAGGATGGCGAGCTGTCACTAGTCAGATTCATGTGGTCACAAGGGGTTTGTGGAAGGTGGGGAGTTGGGGAGGTGCTGGTGGTGGGGGTTGGGCAGAGCAAAGAGGACATTAGCCCTGCTTGTTCTGGCCTAACATTGTTAACGTTGACCGCTTGATTGACACTCACTGCTGCTGTGATTTGAAAAGGCCCACAGTGCTGTGCTGCTTTAGGAGGCCTTCTCCCCTCCCATCCCTCCTTTTGTGTCCGTTTTCCCTTCATGTTGTTTTTCTCTCTTTGCCCCCACCACCTCATTTGCATCAGAGGCTGGGAGGTTTCATAGTGTATGGGAGGGAAGCGAGGGACTCCCCCATCTAACCCCCTCCATCCCACCTACCCACCCTACAGCAAGCACTCTTTGTCTCATCCGCCCAGGCCAGATCGAGGGCGCAGCAGGCCTCCTGCCTGGTGCTCCTGGCTGAGATGGGGCTGGTGTATCAGGGCGGGCTGCTGGGACAACAGCATGAAGGTGTTATTGTAACTGGGCATGGCCAGGCTAAAGCAGCATCCGCATCTCTGTGTCTGGTTCATCCAGTTGATCCCCCAGGAAAGGATGTCTCACTTCAAGGGAACAGGAAGCCGCTGTGGAGGATGGGATTTCTGGGTAAATAGCAAAGCTGCTGGGACAATGTCTCCTGTCCCTCCGACATGGACTGTGCTGTACTGTTATGAGAAAGAAATAGAAAAAGAGAGAGGATGAGGCAATTAAAGCTCACATTGTGCTGAGAGTTGGCTAAAAATGGAGATGCAAATGGCATCTGAAATCTTACATCATTAGTATTAAGCAAATATCATTAGCCCAAAAACAAGGCCTTACATAAGAAAGAAAAGTATTTCACTCTCCCCTCCTGTTATCCATTGTTAACATGAGGGACTTTCTGAAATAACCACCTCCTATACATTTCATTTGCCATGTAAACCAAAACAGACCTGTTTTCCCTGCAGATAAATGCCCCCCTCTTGCTTTTAAGTGGTTAGAACATGATCTTAGTCTGATTAATTACACCCCTTGCTGCTTGCCCCCTCTCTGCTCTTCTGGCTAATGGCTAGTGTTTATGCTGAGAGTACAGCCGTGGTTTCAGGGGGCGGGTTGGCGTTAGCAGCGCTGAGTCCTCGCGTGAGGGGAGCAGTTTTAATTAACGTGGAGACAACACCTCTCTCCCTGCTCATCTTTCACCTGGGAGACATGGGGGAACTCTGACACCAGCCCGGCATGCCGCTGATTAAAGCGGGGCCTCATTTACCGTTGCCTGCTGTCAACAAAACACCACTAATGGCATTATGCCCAGGCCTGGGGGTGCAGGCCCAGGGACTATCCCCACCCAAGTTCAAATGAGAGAAAACAAACTTAGCCTAATCCCTGATACAGGAGCTTAATCTCCCTGTGATCTTATCTAGGAGAGGTCCCACATGTTACAGGACCCGACCCTGCTGTGGCTCCATGGACAGGGCTTAAGCAGGTAAAAGCTGCCCTGCTTTCTTTGTTTGGGAAGGTGAGGTATGACTGAGTCCGTATTTAAAGGTGACTTAGTCCTCTTAGTGGTTTGGCGGAGGGCATATTCAGAAGACAGTCACTGACCCTACACTGGCAGGGAAGAAGTATTTGCACTTCTTTCATCACCTGATGGATGTTGGCATGAATGCTCCTTGCATTCTGACGGTGACCTCATACATGTCCGTCTCTCTTCGTCCATCACTTCCTCTATATATAGATGGGAGTCATTGTTCAAATAGCTCGGGTTGTCCCTTTGAAGTCCTGGCAGAACAAAGCTGCAATGTCCTTACACACTTAGAGAACACTCCAGCCTGGAATCCCGAACATGATGCTTGTGTCAACCAGTCCATTAACACCTCCACGCTCCCTGTCCACGTGTTCTAGATGTTAAATGGATCTGTTACATATGACAGGTTTAATTCCAAAATCCTTTGTTTACATTACAAGGAAAAATTTGAAATTAAATTAAAATTTTAAAAAGACAGATGAAAAAATTGAAACAGTTTTGTAAACGAATGTGCTAATATCTAACAAAATTTTGACAGATCTTATCTTTCAATATCCCCCAATTTTCTGTTAGCCCAGTCCACATTTTTGCCATGTTTAACTTTTGTTTGCCAAAGTTTTTCTCTCTCTTTTAATGGTCTTAATAGTCTGCAGCCAGCTCTACTATTGGCACTCCCTGTGCTGTTGCCCCCATTGTACATTTTGACAAGTTACAGATTTTAACATGAGTGGAAGGGTAGTATAAAATTTAATGCTAAAAGCTAGGTCACTTCTCTTTGGTGTGCATTGTACTTTTACAGTCTTATTATTAGTTGCCCCAGAAAGGAACATTTAACAGCAGCGTTTTTATTGATTTATGTCAATAGCCATTAGTTTGGGCTTTGCCTTCTCTCTACCTTTAATAGGGCCATGCATTAGACTTGAAGCGCATTAAAAGACCAGGGGTTATTAGTGTGATGATTAATTAGAAAAGTTTGTTTCTTGTAAAGTGACAGCTCTTCTTTAAGTAGTCCTGTAAACTTTTATAGGACCATACAGCTGACCTCAAATTGGAAATTTGTGTTGGAAGCAGCCTGGCTCACCATTACAGCTCTTGACTGTTGTTAATTTTATATTTGTCCAATAAAAGGCAGTGGGGGTTACGGACATGCGCGGTATGCTTCCCAATGAACCCCACTCCTCCTGAGTGCCTCTCTTTCATGTGGTTGATGAGGGGCTTCCCAGTGTTTTAATATAACGGTATAATGTTTTTGGTCATAACCTTTACTTTAACCTTTCCTTTACATAACCGTTGCAAGGGGTGGATAAAATCAAATAGGTTTCTATTTATTCCGGAGTATTGTAATCCACTATTTAATGGAAATGTTTGTCTGACTGTAGTTACATTCAGACGGCACACAGCATACATAGTGGAATTCTCACAATGGCGTTAAGCAAGTCACATCAGGTTTTCAGTTGAACCAAGTGGCTGTTTCTTTGTACAAATAAAGGTTTGGGGAAAAAGAGAGGTTGTCACCTCTAGTGGTGCAAATAAGAATTGTATGAATTAGTAGCGCTACGTCCTGTAGGCCAAGCTGCCAAACTAACACAACAGTGCTTCTGTCGGTTGGTCCTTTTCAGCTGTTTATACTGAAGTCAGCGTAACGTGAAGAGGCAGAAGAGGAAGTGCACAATGAAGCTTCTTGATTACCGCCTTGGGGAGACCAAACTGTGGAACCACTTAAAAGATAAAGCCCGAATGATGTTTTTTGAACTCTGGCCGCCTATTTTGTGAGTTGAAACAATATCAATGATGTAAAGGAAATGGGACCTGAATGGCACTGTTTACAGTTGTTGGATGTTCACACATAAGCAGCAAGTTCCAACATAAACATCCACTTAGTGCATGTAAATCTAAGGGCTATTAATAAGCTCTTTTATCTTCTCTTCTGGAGAGTGGCCCTGGAGGCCTTAGGGTAATCTGGCCCTCACTGACTAGCTCTCCAATGTGTTTCTCTTCTGTCTGTTTCTCTTTAGCAAAGCCTGTGCCTTTGGGCAAAGAAACATCATTACCAAGCTTTAAAAACCCCCATTTCATAATGCCTGCTCATTTACTAAAGAAAGTTTGTTTAAGTCTTGTGTTTACACCTCTATCAAGTCCACAGACCGTTGTGTATACCTGTATCCCAGACATGTTTAAACCTCAGCAACCTGCCAGTGTCTCTGTTGATGTGGAAGATGGTTTCCATGGCTCTCGGTTCGCTCTCCACCAGCCTGTCCCCTCTGTCTTGTGTTCAGGAGGACAGTGACAGCGCTCATATGGTTGCATCTCCCTTACATATTTTCCCTCTGCAGACTGATGAGTTCTGACGGAGTGAATGCCTTTGTCTCGCGCTCTCTCTCATGCAGACCCCCTTTCAACTGTTGTTTTTCTTATTCCTGTCGACAGAAAGTTGTTTTTGCTGCCTCCCTTCCCTGCTTGTCCGTGACAGGCATACTTCCTGCATTGTGTGTGCGTGAGGTTGTGTGCATGTGTGTGCGGGCATGCATATATGTGTGCGTGCATGTCTGTCTTTGTGTCTATGTATGTGTGAGTACTTCAGTGGAGTAGAAGCTGCTTTTATGTCAGTGCCAAGTGTGGAGAATGGTTCCGCTAGTGAAGGACAGGCTCTCGTGCTGCACTGGGCTTCCCACTCTGTTCCGAAGAGCCAAATGCCTTTATCTGATGTTGGATCTTTGTTATTTGTCCATGAAACTACAACTGAGAACATCTTATACCTGTGGGACCGGCTGAGTGATCTCCTCCATACCAGCATGTGGACATGAACAAAAATGGAGCAGTTTGCTCCTTTGCCATCCTATATTGTTATTAACTTGCAGCCAGCTTCTTCCTTTAGCTGTCTTTGAAATATCAAATGCAGTTGCAAAGTCTTAGTAGGATGGCCATACGGGCAATATCCTGCTTGGCTGAGGCTCGCTGGCATTATCCCAAAAGCTCAAATGTTTGTGTCACCATGTCACACCTTTGGCGGCTCCATATTTCAGCCCTACATCCTTAAGAGTCAGAGTAGCTTTGTGGCTTGTGTTTGCGGACCGGCTGCCATCTTGAGTTGTGTGTTTCAGCCACTGTCCTGTGGTTTGGGCTGGTCGCAGGTCTCAAAGCAGATGGTGGCACAGTTTAGCATGTGCAACACACTGGTGGCACCAATTTCACTATCAGAAGGCATCTAGTAAAGTGCAGGCCCTTCAGTCCTATTTCTCCACTAGGTCATTGTCACAACTCTTTCCCATAATTAGTAAGTTAACACTCACCATCTTCCACAGTTGACAGTTGCCCCTCGACTTGATAGACTTGGTTCCACTTTATGTATATTTCTCTTTCAAATGTTTTTCCAACATTTTTCTCTTTTCATATTATATACCAGAATAATGTGTGAGCCTTTTATCGCTGTAGTGTAATATGTCTAACATTCCAGCACATCTTGCAAGTGAGGCCCAGAATGGCCGTCTCAGTTTGAAGTTGTTGTAGCCCTAGTAAAAGGTTCGCAGTCTTATTTCTACATTGTAACTCTGCTTCACACTTGATATGGAAAGTACAGTCTAGCTGCCAAGGATAGATGATCCAGGAGGACGCTTTGATATCTGCTTACGTACCTTTGATGCTCACAACACTAGATGTGCAGAGATATTTACTAAATCAAAGTAAAGTTCTTTCAACAGCTGCATAGAATTTGAGATGAATGGAAACAGTTGTATATCACTGAAACTCAGTAACAACAGCACCTTGAGGAAAAAGTGATGTTTCCATGTCTGGTGAAATGCAATACCCAAAATGTGGCTTGTATTTAGTGTGTGAGGGGAAGAAGTGAAATAAAAGTTAAATGTTATAAAATGAAAGAGGTTTTCTTTTAACACAGCTTGTGCAAGTTGTGTTATTACTGCAGCAGTCACAGTACTAAGGTAAGCCATTAAAAGTAAGTTGAAGGGTTTAGAATTCAGTAGCATTGGCAATGCTATAAAGAAGGATTAGATATGTATTATACAAGTATGATCTCAAGGTTATGTAAGAACGCACGTAGTAATAGAACACAATAAAACAAATCTGATGATTAACTTTGTAGTAATGTCAGATCGGCTGTCTTGGACACAGAGATGAACAAATGAGCAAAGCTGACACCTTAAT